TTAATTCCCGGGATCCATGTGAGTAGAGAGTGCAACACTGTTCCTTGCAGTCGAGGGAGGAGAGGTTCTCTCTTGTCGGGCAGTGTTTGATCATTATGGGCTGAGAGGTTAAGTGTAAGACTATTGAGGGTAATACCTGATGGGCTAATCTTGCATCTACCCACAGTCCCTGGGTTTTTTAAAGGTGGCTTGGCCCAAGGACCACTTAGTGTAAGTGTTGGGTCCATTAAGAGCCCATGGTGATGGGCTTAAGGGTTCACTGTCCATAACAGTGAATTCGGCCAGGCCTTGTAACAGAGGCTAGGTTGAACCTATGTGGCTGATGTGTAGATCAATGTTTGGGTCCCACACCATACAAGGAAACCCAACTGGGCAGCAGTTTGGAAGGTTAGTGAGCACATAAACTTAATGGGCCTAAAGCCCAATTCGAATTGGTCTAATTTGATTAGTTAAAGAAGGGGGCGGATCTAGGATTTGGATCAGCAGATAGGATAGGGAGTTATCCCTATCCACTCAGAGAGTTCAGATCCAAATACAGATTTGGATTTGGAAACTCCTAATAAGATTAGGAGGGCTAATCTAATCTGCAGATAAGATAAAGGCTTATCCTTATCTCTTAAAGAGAAGTTCTGATCCAAATACAGATTTGGATTAGGAAACTCCTAATGAGATTAGGAGCTCTCTTTAAGGCTATAAAAGAAGGAGGAGGGCGAACCTCCAGACACAACATCTCATCACAACAGATCTCAGATCACAGAAAGAGAGAAGACAGCTACAGTAAGACTGCGCCATCTTCTGCTCTTGCGCCCTCCTCCTGCTGCCGCCATTGCCAGTTCGATCTCCACTGTAGGAGCGATGAAGAAGAGTTCTTGATATCAGTTTTTGGAGAAAAGCTAATTTGAAGTTGTGCTCACATACCCTCCATCGAATTCTTGTTGAAGGATTCGGTTCTTGTGAAGAACCTGTTGATTCTGCTCCACCCTACATTGTGTCATCTTCAGTTGGAGCAGTCTTTGGAGCTTTCCTTGGGTGTGAACACCTTCATTGGGAGATATTGTTTCTTCGTATCAGGTACTTCCCTCTCCTACCTTTTGGTTTCAGATCTGATTCGGTTCTTGGTTTAAGATTGATCCTTGAAAATACAGATTTTCTAAAACAGGGAATGCGATTCCCAGATGGGAGAGAGAGAAATTTTTGAAATTTCGCCCTACCTTCCTGTAGGGTTCGGCCATCCATATGATGGATCTCTCATCCCTTCACCATCAACCTGCAATTTGCAAACAAGTTTGAGAATAACAAGTGGTTTGCAGCTTTTTTAATGGACACAAGTGACTTGGGGCTTCAACCCATTAGATTGATAAAGAAGGACCCTCTAGACAAATGGTTATGGACCACTTATGGTAATATTATGTATGGCTGTTCAACTTGATGCAAGAACCAACTCAGACCTTAGGGCCGGCCTCTTCTTCAGACAAGTGGAATAGTAACTTATCAAGAAAGAGCATCTAAGAAGTGCATGCTTCAACTCTCAAAAAAGAGAGGTCCATTCTCAACTAAAAATGTTAAGTTCAAATACGTGACAACTTATCAAACAAAAAGTACCCAGAGAAAAAGTTCTTTCAAACCCATGTTCTCCTTCTTTGTTCAAATACAACAATTAGTTAACATACCCATAAACCCATGGTATTTGAAATTCTTCTTTGTTCAAATGCACATTTAGTTTTTTTTTTTTTTTTTTTGAAAAAAGTTTAACCAAATTTCATTAAACTAGAAGAGAAAATATGAGAGGATGTACATTACAGGGGAGATCCCCAAAGAGATTATAAGGGAGGAATTCTGTCACTATACAGATTTTCTAAGTGAACACCTAGTTACGTTTTTTATTATCAGCATCAAATACACTTCCAGTTAACAAAATCATAAACCCACATTCTTTCAATTTCAAATACCCAGGTACAATTTTCTCAGCCCCAACTGTATTTATTTGTAAAACTGTATATTCAGATTGGATCAAGCAATATTCAGATTCAATCTGATTAAGAAACAGATCACAGTTTTAAACCTGATCCAATCAGATTATGGTTAAATAGATATCTTGAATTCAGCTAAAATCAGATTTGAATTTGAATTGGAATAAGTCAGATCCATTTGCAGCCCTAATCAAAGTACATTTTGATGAAAGAGAATGGAGAAAGTACCAGGAGGAGAGAGTTATTTAGGATACAATAATGAAAAGGAAATACATCAGCAAATGCAATTCCAACCTCCTATGCCATTCTTCTTTAGAAGACAGAGTTGCTTGAAGTCGTTTCGGAAGATTCTCCCAGGGGCATTCTTCCTTGATTGACTTTAGAAGGAGTTGTTCCTCAATTGTTGCTGGAATGTGTTGCATTATAAAAAGTGGCAATATTCACCCTGAATATAAAAATTGGAGAAATAAAAAATCCATTTTAAGCAATTCAGAACAATATCATGTTTAAGAACATATGAGGTGGAATTCAATCTCAAGTCTCCGCTAAAACCAGCCAAAGACCTTGCCATCAATATTCTAATCTATTGATGGATTAAAATAAGTGTAGAACCATATATGACAGCATCATGCAGGTTACCTAAAACAGAAGTTTACAAAAAATACAATGAGAGCTACATTGGACCAGAAATGAAATAGGCATCTTGAAAGATAAATTAACTAAAGTATGACATGCCAAATGGGCAAGCAAGTCCAGGAGCTTTACTGGATTTCACAACTTTAGACATCCAAGAATGCAATGCACATACAAACCACATGAAACAAGTCAAAAGAAAACTATAAAGAGACACACCTAAGTAAATAAGCCACAAAACCATACTGCCAGAGCTTTCTGGGTTTTCAATGATAATGGGTAGGCTGTGCGTTTTTACAGTAACCCAGATCAATCTTCCTAGAGTCCTAAATGATTGAATTGAACCGAGATCAAATCAGGGTAGCTTCAAAGTTGATATAATAATTGAGTCCAAAATCTAAATGCCTTCCGGTACGCAAAGAGATAACAAGGGTGGAATTCTAGACAAATTCGAATTCCAGCTAACGAAGAAAAAGATCTGATCAAACTTTAAACGGCGTTACGTTGAATAATCAATTGAACTAGAACCCGAGGAAACATAGCCAGCGCCAACAAATTCTCTTCCAACGGATTTTAGTATCGTTCTGAGAGATTGAAGACTCCCCCGTCAACCCTACAACTTTTGACCAATTTTTCTTCACAGAGGTTCAACAAATTACACGAATGCATTTATCCTGAACTAGAACTTCAATTTTAGGAACTGGATCAAACCACATTTTTGATTAAAAAGAAGAGAAGAAAATGATCAACGGAACTTACCTAGATTTTCTGGAGAAGTCTATAGAAAACAAGCATGGATGGATCTAATTCTAAGGTCTGAGTTTTTCTTCCAGTCGTGAGATTTGGATAGAAATCTTCAGAATTCTTCTCAATTCCCACAAGCTTAGGCGTGAGTGAGATTTGGAGAGAAATATTCAGAAATTTCAGAGTTCTTGATTTATGGATAACTGCAGAAGAGAAGAACTCCAATTGAAAGCCTGAAGGAGGAGGAGAATATAGGAGGCAAACAAACCTGTTAGGAGTAGAGTCACCGTCGTAGGTCGTGGAGCGCCGTAGATCGTCGTAAAGTTGCCAGCCGGAACTTGAGGACGAGAGATGGGACGTCCGGTAGACTGTTTTTAGCACCGAGTCACCAACAAGGGAAATAAGAAGAAGAAGATTGGCGCTGTGTTACGAGTAGAACCGTAGAGGATTCGATTTCATTTTTGGAGCCAGAGATGTTCTCAGCTGACTGAAGCCCAGTGAGGCTGCGAGGGGGTGCTCATTAAAAAATAAAAATGAAATTGAAAAAACCAAGGTGAATCGAACCGATGAAAGCAAACCTAAAAATCCGATTAGCCAAATTTATTGATTTGGTTTCGGTTCGGTAATTTTCAAAAATTGAAAGCATCGGTTTGGTTTCATTATATTAGCGGGGACCGATGTACAGATTTTGTTAAGCAAAAGATAAATAATAGAAATATATAAGGATAAATAACATTTTTTATATATTTTAATTTTTTTAATAATTAATAATTATTTGTATTTTATATATTATGTTTATAATTTTTTATAATACAAAAATAATAATAATAATAAATTTCAGCTAAATTAATAGTTTAATCTTTAATAAATAATAATAGTTTAATATCCAATAATTATTAAAAATTTATAAAAAAAAATACATAATTATTGAAAATAAATTTATAACAAAAATACAATAAATATGATAATTACAAAAATAACAAACTACAATAATTACAGAAATCTAATAAATACTGAAAGTATATTAAATTAATAAGTAAATAGTATAATCTTCAATAATAATTCAATATCTAATAAATAGTAATCAATATATTACAACAAAATTGCATAATTATTGAAAATAAATTTATAGCAAAAATACAATAAATCCAATAAGAACAATAAATTAAATTTTAAAAAGTTAGATAACAAAGTTTAATCTCTAATAACTATCAAAAATTTATTGTAAAATAAAAAATGAAACTAGATTTATAAATAATTATTGAAAATATCTTTATCACAAAAAACAATAAATAATTACTAAAAATAAAATAAATATTAATTTTAGTGTGTGTTCCAAAATTTTTTATATTTTTATGTCTTTACAAATTTACTTTCAATGTATTGCCTACTCTTCCATAATTTAAATATGCTTTTCATTGCAAGAATACAAATGCACAACACAACATATTGCATACTTTATTATCCAATACTACTAATCATCTACAAAACGCAACAACTCAAATGGAAATAGCTTAAGAGCCCCAAGCATCAACAACAATGCAAAGCCTTGTGGCATCAACAATAGTGCAAAGCTTTGTGGCAACAACAACAAGCCTCACACAATGCACCAAAACAACAACAAGGCAAAAGCCTTGTAGTAGCGTCCACAAGCCTTACATAATACACAAAAACAACAAGAATGTTGAACCCTATGGCAATGCCCATAGGTCCCATAGGCCCCATAGGCCTTATACAATGCACAAAACCCTATGGTAAAGCCCATAGGCCTTAAAAACAAGAGAGTGGTTAAAAAATGTTTATATAGCGTTGTTTGATAGCTAGGCGCAATTAGATGTTGTTAGATAGTGTATACCCTTATTTCCAATCAGATTGATGTATAAATACATTTATTGTAAATGAATAAAAGTACATTATTGTTTAATGTTGATATTGGTATGTTTCTATAAAATTACCCCTTAAATTAGACAATTATGAGACTCGTGTTAGCTTAGAATGTTCTCAACCATTGGATAGACTTTGGGAGTTTATCCTAGCAAGGTTGACACTGATGTGCTGCCAAAGAAGTTGGGGCAACTTGTCTCAGCTGCTAGGGTTAGACCAAAAGCACATTCAGTGTGTTTGGCTGAAACACTGAACCCGGACCATTTTCTAGTTATGCCTTGGACATTAGAGATTGATGGGCAAAATTGGAGAGTTACACATACCCCCTATACTTGATTATGGTACTACACTAGGTGTTAGATTGGGATATTTTTGATATGCCAATTAGTGAGATCCATTGAAGGTCAAAACCTGGGTATGTTGGGGCAGTCTAAGAATTCACTTAAGTGGGTGATCATAGTGATAGGGTCGGCCCATTTGTTGGACAAAGTGAATGATAGGGCTTACACTCTCTCTGATGGAAACCTAAACTATCGACAGTGGATTTCAATTATGTTTGAAATTTGGTTTTGCATATTATGTTTTATAAAAAAATGTTTGCAAAAGGTTTTAATTCTCGGGATCCATCCGAGCAGAGAGTGTGACACTGTACCTTGCAGTCAGGGGAAAGGTCCTTCCCTGTCGAGTAGTGTTTGATCATTATGGGGCAAGAGGTTAAGTGTAAGAGACCATTACACGGCTGATTATTTGATGGATTTTATCTTACTTAAGTCCATTATCCTTATGTTTTCATAAAATGGCTGAATTTAAGGATCATTTAGGTGTAAATGTTGGGTCATATTGAGCTCATAGTGATGTGCTCAGGGGTTCATTGCGTTTAGCAATGGATTCGGCCAAGCCTTTTCACAGAGGTTGGGCCGAACCCATGTGGACTTATGTGAGGTCATTGTGGGGTCCCATGCCATACAAATTAGGCCTAAGTTGGCCAAGCAACACCCTTGGGTCGTGAGCCTTCTACCTAATGGGCCTAAGGCCCATAATTAATATGATAAATTAAGTTGTCACATGACAACTTAAGTTGTTATGTGACATGGGGCAAATCTGGATTTGGAAATGGGTATTGAACACTCGTCATCTTAAGAGGATAAGGCTTATCTCTTAATAGAGTCCAAATCCAAATTAGATTTGTATAATCTTCTAATTTGATTAGGAAAAATGCTCCATAAAGAGATAAAAGAAGAAGAGAGCGAACTAGACTAGAACACCTGTCTCTATTTTGTTCTCTCTTCTTCTTTTTGTCTCCCAAGAAACCCTAGTTTGATCACAACTATTTTGGGACTGATAGAAATCAGTTTTCTTCTGATTTTTGCAAGAAAAATCTAGAGGAATTTCATGCTCACATTTCCCTGTTCAATCTAAGCAATTGGATTGCAGTTCTATTGAAAACTATGTTGTTAAATCAGGTTCAGGAATATACTGCGCCATCTTTACTGGAGGCTGGTTTTAGGACTGTTTTGGGCATGAACCTCACCTTGGGATCAACAACCAATTTTAAATTGAGGTAACCAACCCCAAGCATCTAACGACTACAATATTTAAAGCACCCAACATAGTAACTCAATCACTTTCTGTATGCTAAAAAGAGTCATATTAAAAATAGAAGCAATTGCATATTCATGTTACTCAACATTCAAATGCCAAATACTCAATTATTAATCATCGTTGGACCAATATTATATAGGAAATTCATACTACATTTTTATGTTGCGCTCGTATCCATATTATATAGGAAATACAAGCAATTGCATATTCATGTTACTCAACATTTATGTTGCACGAATTTACTTGTTGAGCATATGTGCAAATACAATACTAAGTAACCAATTAATTCCTAAATCACATCATATGCATTTGATGTCCCATTCCGATGCACCTACAAAATTTTCATAATGGTTGAACTATAACATAGTTGTTAGACAATGTATGCCCTTAGCTTCAATCAGATTGATGTACTTATTGACATTTATTGTAAATGAATGAAGTACATAATCGATTAATGTTATTATGGTGTGTTTCTGTGCAATACCCTTAAACTGACACTTATGAGACTCGTGTTAGTTTAGAATCTTCATAGCCGTTGGATAGACCTGGGGAGGTTTATCTTGTCAAGGTTGACACTAATGTGCTGCCAAGAAGGTTGGGGTGGCTTGTCTCAGCTACCAGGATGAGACCTGAAGCACATGTAGTGTGGGTTTAGAGATAGATGGGCAAAACTAGAAAATTACACCTAACCCCTAAAGTCAATTATGATACTACACTAGGTGTCGAATTTGACTGTCTTTGATATACCAATCAGTGAGATCCTTAGAGGGGGTCAAAACCTGAGTATATTGGGCAGTCTGAGAATTCACTTGAGTGGGTGATCATAGTGACAGAATAAGCCCCTTTGTTGGACAAAGTGGATGATCGGGGAATGCACTCTCTCTGATGGAAACCTAAATTGTCGGAAGTTAATTTCAAACTTGTTGAGATGTATTTTTGCAAAATATATTTATATAGAGATATACGTATATATTATGGTTTCACAAAATGTTTGCAAAAGGTTTTAATTCTCGGGATCCATGTGAACAGAGTGTGCAACACTGTACCTTGCAACCGAGGGAGAGGTCCTCTTTTGTTGGGTAGTGTTTGATCATTATGGGCTGAGAGGTTAAGTGTAAGACCATTTAGGGTTATACCTGATGGGCTAATCTCATATAAGTCCATAGTCCTTGGGCTTCATAAGGTGGTTGGACCCAATGACCATTTAATGTAAATGTTGGGCTTTTAAGAGCCCATACTGATGGGCTCAGGGGTTCACTGTCTTTAGTAGTGAATTCGGCTAGGCCTTGTAACAGAGGCTAGGCTGAACCCATATGGCTTTTATGGAGATCAATGATAGGGTCCCACGCCATACAAAGAGAGCCAAATTAGCCAGCATTTAAAAGGGAAAGTGAGCTAGCCATATGACTTCATGGGCCTAAAGCCCATTTCGAACTGGCTTAAGTGTATTAATTAAATGGGGCGAATTAGGTTTGTAATATGATTAGGATCAGCAGAAGGATAAGACATGTCTTATCCAATTAAGTGTCCAGATCCAAATATCAGATTTGGATCAAGAAACTCACTCCTAATTTGATTAGGAAGCTGATCATAAATAAGGGGGCGAATTCCACAGTTTACACATTTAGCATTCTATAGTTTTCTCCCTCAGCTCTTGCCGCCCCTACCCAGTTCAATCTCCACTCTTGGATCTGATCAAGAATAGTTATTGATATTGTTTTTTAGTAGAAAAAACAATCTGAAGTCATGCTCACACACACCTTATGTGATTCTTGCTAAAGAACCTCTTTGCTGATCCTACCTCAACATAAGTTGTGTCATCTTTAGTGGAGGCGAGTTTTGGTGACCTCTTTGGATGTGAACACCTACATTAGGAGTTACTATTATTCCGTATCAGGTATATCCCTTTCCCTCTTTTGGTTTCAGGTTTGGTTCGGTTTGTTTCGAAAACGAACCTTGAAAAATGCAGTTTTTCTAAATCAGGGAATACGATTCCTAGATGGAAGAAA